GCGTGATTAAGACAGGGTATCTCCATCAGTGGACTAAATTCCACAGAACAGGGACAATGTCTGTGCTATTTACCTCCGTATCCCCAACAGCTAACACGGTGTCTGACATATGTTTAATGAATAAATGAGTGAATAAAATTCTTAAAAGATATAAAATAAAAATATTTTATATATCCAAGTACCCACAGAAACACAGTATGAACTCAATTGTTTTTCAAAAAAGCAGACTTATGCATATATAATTATGCATATAAAACTAAAAAAATGACCCCCAAAATGTAACAGTAACTATCTTTGAGTGGTAAAACTACCAATGATTTCCTTCTTTTTCCTTCATTTTATTTTCGTACATATTGCCTATTTTCAAGAATGAATATTATTACTTTTATAATGGAAAAAACAAGTCAACACTCTTTAGAAAGGAAGGACTAGCCTTAGGCAGGATTTAGCCCAGATGAGAGGGTGTGACAAGGTTTTACAGCCTCGACAGTTCCCGGTCAGTCTTTGCAGGGAGTCTCCCATTCCGGCCGGGGTGCCTCTCTGCAAGGGCGGTTCCTCCCACACAGCTGGCGGAGGGCCCAGAGACACACTGAGAGGTGCTGGCTTTCACTGGAGCCATTTCTAAACTCCCAGGTAGCTATCAAAAGTGACACCCAGCAACATGGAAAACAATGGTACAGTTTTAAGTGAAATGGAGCAGCACACAAAATTGCATTGACTATGAATGTAGCTATGCGAACTATGCACTGGGCAAACATTTATGAAGAAATGAAAAGACTTCACAAGAAATATGACCACATGCAGCCAGAGATGAGACAACCAACCAAAATGAATGTACCTTTCAGCAACAACAATTTTAAAGTCATGTCTCCAGAACTCAGATTCCTAAAGCTCTACCTAGACCCCCAGTGGGTGTCTACAGTTGCTTACCTAGTGACTCTAGGCTCCAGGGCAATTTGTTTCTTAGAGAAGAGCTTCTCAAATTTTAATGTGTGTACAATTAACCTGGAGATTTTTTTTTTTTTTTTTGAGACAGAGTCTCACTTTGTGCCCAGGCTAGAGTGAGTGCCGTGGCGTCAGCCTGCTCACAGCAACCTCAAACTCCTGGGCTCAAGCAATCCTGCTGCCTAGCCTCCCAGTAGCTGGGACTACAGGCATGCACCACCATGCCCAGCTAATTTTTTCTATATTATTAGTTGGCCAATAATTTTTTCTAGTTTATAGTAGAGACGGGGTCTCGCTCTTGCTCAGGCTGGTTTCGAACTCCTGACCTCGAGCAATCTGCCCGCCTCGGCCTCCCAGAGTGCTAGCATTACAGGTGTGAGCCACCGCACCTGGCCTGGAGATCTTGATAAAAGGTGGGTTCTGATTCAATAGGTGTGGGTGGCAACAAAGGACTCTGCATATCTAATGAGCTCCAGGTGATGCTGGACTGCTGCCCACACTTGGGGTAGTAAGTTCCCAGGGTGCTGGGTAACGAAGCAACCCCACAGTAGTTAGGAACGGGGAGCAGGACACAGACACCCAGGCAGACTGTGTCGACCTAAGCAAGGTGAGGGAAGCACCGAAGACACTCAGTGAGGCTTCCAGCTACTACTCCAATTTCTAACGCCAAGCACCTTTCCCAGACACCTGGCCTCACCACCCTGTCCTCAGGTTCGCTGGCACCCTAAATCATCCTTGTCCCCAAGCGTCTTGGCACCATTGAGATTGGTAAAGAGAAGCAAACTCCAGGCACTTGCATGGTCTCTGGAGGGGCCTGAGGCCCCCAGTTCCTTGGGGAGCCTGGACAATGACATCTTGCTGGGCTGGGTCCCACAGTCGGGGCTTTGCTGGCAGGTGCTCACCTGGAGCAGCCAGCAGCAGATGGCACCAGAGGACAAGCACAGGCTGTGGCCAAGAGAGTGGCTGAAGAAATCTGCCCAAAAATCCAGGGTAAAAGTGAACAAAGGAACTGAATGAGAGACAGGACCAAAAGCAGGAACAAGAGAAACCGCTCCAGAAAGGGAGCTGATGGCTCAAAGAGCACTTGTCTTGGGTGTTGGCTGCACAGGTTCTTGGTCAGGAGCGAGGGCAAGACAGTCAGATGTGGCTGTTCAACCTCTGGCTGACCCTTTGCCAGATGCCCTGTGTAGAGCCAACGCTGCCTCGAGGCGCCTCAGGGCCCTGGCATTTGAATACCCTGCCCTGGGAGACCACGTTGGGGCCACGGTGCACTCCGCTGGAGAGTGGTCTAAACAGACAGAGCCTGGCTGAGACATCCCATCTAAGACAGCCGAGGAGCAATCTTGACACTTCCTTCCCTGCAAGGACAGGCTGTCTGGTCCACACACAGATGAAGCCTTGGACCTGGTTTAGCATCCAGGGAACTGGGCCATGACCTCTAAGGTGAGATATTCACACTCACTGGAGCCCTTTCTCCATTCTCCCTGGATGGCAGGAGAAAGGGGGACCCCTGCTTCTTTTAGCCAGTGTCCCATTAAGTCTGACTCCTAGGACTCCCTGCCCCTGCTCCTACTGAAGGCCACTGGATGCCCGATGTCCTGGGGAAGTTTTGGAAGAACTTCACATCACCCAGGGCAAGTCAGCTCAGTGGTCAGAGCATGGAATGAAGGCTGTAGTCATGCCCTTGAGTTCTAGAGGCCCCTGTAGTGGGTCCACAGGGGGAAGGCCTCAGAGTCTCTGTCCAGATGCCTCGTCAAGAGGCCCTGGAAGGCAAGGACAGGCAGGCGAGAGACTGTGGGTGCAACAGCCTGAGCCCTGACCCCTTCCCACACCAGATCACAGCGCAGAGCGCCCGTCCTTGGCCAAACACTCAGCAGTGAGTGGCACCTTTACCCTCAATCCACCACAGAAAAGGTTTCCGGAGCTCTCCCCCTGCATCAGGGCCTGCTCAGGCATAAAGAACGCAAGCTTTAAGACAATACAGTGTCACCTCACAGTGCTCACAACCTCCTCAAGGGGAGACATTTGCAGGCTTATTTCCATATGAGGTGGCAGATGCAGTGAGAGAGGAAAAGGATGGAGTAGGATGTGAATTCTGCAATTCCTGTTGCTGAGGAGCACGAGGTCCCAAGATCCCAGGGTCTATTCTCTTCAGCTGTGCTAATGATGTAACAGTAATCCCACCGCTTTGCAGCCACAGAATTCTCTACCACTTGTGAAGCTCTTGCACACACATCATCTCTCATAGAAGTCAGAGGGTGACCCAGGGCCAGAGCTCTGACTCCAAGCGCTCCTTCCCTCAGTGCACAGCAGCCTCACGGCCTCACTGGCGTAGGTGACATCGCTGGTTCCCAGGCCAGGCATTTGTTTCTGAGTTACCAGAATGAACCCTGCCTATTACCAGCAGATATCTCTGCATCTTGCTAGATATCTAGCATCTTGCAGCTCAAGCTGCAAGGCTCACTGTAACTTGCAGAATCAAAACTCAGAATCCAACCAGGAACACGTAGCTGAATGTTAGGCCTCTCAACGCAAATGGATGCAAAACAGGCTCTTGCCAGCCTATCTGGGCCCCAGAAAACCATAATGACAGAGGGGTGCCACCCACAGCTTGCAACGTGCCCACTTATTTAAGTGAAAGAAGCTGGCAAGGAACGTGGCAGGGAGAAGCCCTAGACCTGGCTAGATGGGGTTGGACCTGCCACTTAGCCTCAGAGACCCTTTGGAGACTTCCGTGTGCACTGTGGACAGGGGCACATGCTCGGACTCTTCCATGGCAGGGCTGTGCTGACAAGTCAGCACCAGGGCCTTGACCTCTTTCTTGAAATTGGTGTTGAGAAAGCCATAGATGAAAGGGTTGACACAGGTGGAAGCCATGGCGAGCAGGTGGCACACCAAGAAGATGAGGTTGCCATGGCAGACAGGGATGGCCTCGGGGCGCCAGTCCTCCAAGCTGTTGAACACGTGCAGGGGCAGCCAGAGCACTGCGAAGGCCGCCACCATCGCCACGAGCACCCCGTTGACCCGCCTCATCTGCCCCGCGCGCGAGCGGTAGGCGCCCTTGCGAAACACGCGCCCCTGCTTCTGCAGGCGCCGGTAGACGCGCACGTAGCAGACCAGGATGAAGGCCAGTGGGACGCAGTACTGGAAAAGCAGCAGGAAGGTGGTGTAGACAATGCGGTGGTGGTCCAAGGGCCAGGACTCAGTACAGACCACTTTATCTGCCAGGAACTCCAGAGCCTTGGAGTGGTTCTTGTGGAAGACGTTCTCCAGGACGCTGTTGGCCAGGAAGGGCAGGGAGAGGGCGCAGGCGATGAGCCAGGTGAGCACAATCCCCAGGTAGGCCTGCGGGATGCTGGGCTTCCAGCCTGTTGGGTTGATGATGAGCTGATGCCTCTCCAGGGCCACAAGGACGAGAGAGAGAATGGAGACCGTCACCGACATGCACTGGATGAAGGCTGACACCTTGCACAGGGCCTCACCAAAGACCCAGTAGTCCATGATGGTGTAGATGGCCGTGAGCGGCTGGCAGATGAGGCACATGAGGAAGTCGGAGAAGGCCAGGTTGGCGATGAGCAGGTTGGTCACATTGGTCTTCTCCTTCTGCCTCATGGTCACGCAGATCAGGCAGAGGTTGCCCAGGACCCCCACGATGGTCTCGATGCTGTAGGAAGTGACAATGAAGACCAGCAGGTCCGCAGAATCCTGGCAGTGGTCAGACAGGTTGTACAGGATGTCCCGTGGCTTGCTCCTGTTTTCACCCTGCGGGGATCCTGAGAGCAGCGAGGCCAGGAGGTGAGAGGTGTTCATGGTGGATGTGAGCAGACTCCAGGGGCTCTGGAATGAAGGGGCCACTTTAGGGATGATGCCTGCAAGGCAAACAGACAGACGGTACTCAGGGATCAAGCCTCCGGTGTAGGATCCAGGGAGGAGCCGCCAGGTTGAAGGGTTCTCGGCTGCCTCCATCCCAAGTCTAGGAACTGGCAGAGCTATTCCCCAAGGTTCACAGTAAGACATTGGCATCCAGTAATCATGACCCTGGGAGAAGCTCTTGCTGCATGCCGGGGTCTGTGCTCAATGCTTAGCATCTATAGCTAGTGATTAGGTGTTATCAATCCATTTCATAGATGAGGACTCTAAGACAGAGATGGAAAGCAACTTGCCCATAGTCACACAGCTAATAAGTAATGGGGTCCAGATACAAACCCAGGTCTCTCTGATGCCAGAACTTGTTCCACAAATTAGGACCTCAAGATTTGACACTGTTTTGATGATAAAGAAGTTGGAGCATTGTATGTAGAGTTTAGGGAGAGAATTGTTCAGGAAGCATGGGTAGAAAGCTCCTATCACATTGCATCCAAATGGAGACAGCAATAAATGCTGCTATGCACAGTGACTGCTACATCCTTCCATGGCACCCCAGGCCCTTTTGCATAGAGCCAAAACTTCGGAGCTTAGTGCCCCCTCCTGCTATCAGCCCCTCTCTCCCTGCCAGCCTTGTTTCTCAGGTGACAAATGGCAAAGTTGAAGACTGCCAGGTATGCAAAGACTGGCGAATCACATACCGGCTTCCTCCTGCCTGCTGTGTGCACATTACCCCTGGCCCCAGCCCAGTGCCCACTGCCCTCCCTAGAGCCCACTCCACGCCTGTGCTCAAGGCACCTGATGCAGTTTGCAGCTCCCAAACACACCGGACTATTGCACACCTCCATGCCCTGGCACACCTGCCCCTTCCCCAGGTACCTTCTCAGCACAAGGGACCTCCTGCCAAGACTGAATTGAAATGTGGGCTCCAGAGCCTCCAGGTGGTGGTGCCAGTCATGGCTCTATTGCACAGAGAGCCACCAGATCACTACGCACATCACTGCGACTCATCTCACGGGTTCTCTAGTCATTATTAACCCACAAGGTCGCAGTTCTCAACCTTCAGTAAACAACAGAATTCTGGGAGCATGTTGAAAGTGCAGATTCCAGGGCTCCTCACCAGCAAATGTAATTAAGTGACTCCAGAATGGGGCCCAGGAATCTGTATTTTACAAGTGGCCTATGTGATTCTGATGCACATGGCCTTTGGCCCCATTCTGAGAAACACTGCTAGTAGCAGAATACTCTATTTGAGATATTCTTTAAGTCTCATATAATGGCCATGCCTATTTTTGAACATACATATTTTCTTCTTGATCAAGTGCTAATTTAAAGGCAGTTTTCACAGAGTAAGGCCAAAATTCCCCAGAACTTAGTAAAATCTATGTGTCTGCTGTCATGAAAGTCACTCATTGTGTATCTGATCTGTCCTACAAGGACAAGTCTTATTTGGCCATTCACAAGATCAAGTCATGAATTTTCCTAATAGTCTACAATCTGGTTTTCTGGCTACCAGATCACAGAGGCAGGAAGGTTTCTCCAGCCCCACAGTCTTCCAGGAAATAGGGCCATTTGGGGCTGCACATGACAAAATGAAACATACCAGGGCCAAACACAAGGTCCAGTATGAGACAAAAAGCAGAAAAGCAGTCGCAGCTGCATGAAAGCTGTGCATCTGCATCTGTGGCAGACGCACGGGGCTCAGAAGCAGCCAACGGGCCAGAAACCCAGGCTCTGGCTGACCGTCCACAGGGCCAGGCGGCAGTGCAGAGCAACACCGTTAGTTCCAAACCGACCAACTGCAGCGTGATCAGAGCAGAGTGACCAGGCAGGGGGCTCCACAAACACCCACTGCTTCCTTCATTCATCCACTCAGCAAACGTGTGCCAAGCCCTAGGCTAGAGACAAGGGCTGCAAAGATGACTTACATAGCTGTGGCCCTCCCAGACTAGAGGGACTGACCACCGCAAACACAGAGGGACCTCAAGGCCACAATGCCATTGCCCAAAACGGTATGGATGGAATGCCTGTGAGCTTGGAGAAAGAGAAGGAGCAGGGAGCAGATGAGAAAAGCAGTGACATTGACCCGGGGCTCAAAGGCTGAAGAAGAGTCCACCAGCAACATGGACAAGGGAGAGAGGAAGGAACTCAAGGTTCAGGGAATAGCATGTGCAAGGGCACAGAGGCAGGAAAGAGCAGAGCCTCCTGGGAACAGCAAGCTGCTGGGAATGACTAGAGCCAGGATGGGTAGAAAGGAGTGACAAATGATGAAGCTGGAAAGGTGGGCCAAACCAGCAAGTCCAAGTCCACTCCAGAAAGATCACTTTGGGCACTGAGACTGGATATGGGGAGGAGCTAAGACAGGAGGAGGGAGCACTGGAAAAGGATCACTTCTCACAGAACCGGCAGAGACTAACACAAGGGATGGTCACAAGGGGGCCAGGACACCCCACACCAACACTGATGACTAGACCACATGGAGGCCTGGGTCCAAATCAGCCCTTCCTGCAGCTTCTGAGAACAGGGCAGAGGGAAGCCTGGGGCTGGGAGAGCAGGAAGGAGATCATAGCGGGGCGCAGGAAAGGAATGGAACTGCGGGTTGGCCCTTGGTCTTTCCCCAGAGCTGCTGAGGCTGGAAGGGGACTCCACAAGCCCTCGCCCAGAGGGGCCCTCGATACACAGCGACTTAGGATTTCCAGGTGCAGACTACAGGGGAAAGACAGCAGTAATTCAAATCCCTGAGCCCAAGTCAGCAGGAGAGCTGGATGCCTTTTGTGGAATGTGCTGGGAGGTGGGAGCCACACGACCAGAGACCCTGAGGGGTGCTCCTGACCAGAACCAAGAAAGAAAGAAGACAGCACCCAGATGCCACCCGGGCCTGGTGAGAAGCTACCATGACCCAGCGATGGCTACACCAATTGGGACAAAAGAGTCAAGGTTGGGAGGGGCCAGAGTGAGACTGCGGTTGTAGGGGAAGAGTCACCTTGCAGGTAGGGAGGGCTTTTCACCCTAGAGCAGGGTATGGGCCTGGTTCTTGGCTCTTCAGAGGGCGTCTGGAGTCAAGAACAGAATCCCTATCACACAGAGCCACCACAGGTGTGCCTGTCCTGAGTTCAAATCCCAGCCCTACCGCCAATTTGCAAGATGGCTGTGGGAGAGTGAGTGAACCTTTCTGAGACTCGGTTTCCTCAGCTGTCCAAGGAGTGGGGGTGGGTAAAGCCTATCTTGCAGGGTGTTTTGGCTCCCTCCCTGGTCAGGAGATCAAGGAGTGACCAAGGGGAGTCTGAAAGGCAGGACCTTGGAGGGCCTTGGAGGCGCTTTTTCAGGTTCAGTCTCCACCCTGGTTCTTTGGGCAAATAATATAATTTGATGGACCAGGTCCTGTTCAGGAGCTTTGCGTGCTCCCTCTGAGAGGTAAAGTTATTAATACCTGTTTTGCCAAAACACCAAGCTGGCACATAGTAGGTGTTCATCAAATGTCAGTTCCTTCCCTTGTCACTCATCCCACCAACCCCACCCTGAGGAGCCCTGGTCCCCACCATGAGGCCCTGGCCACAGCAATCACACAGGCCCATGCCCAGGCCTCTGAGTCCACCCAACTGCAGCTCTGACCCCAAAGCCTAAAGTAGAAGCCCCGAGGGAGGGCAAGGGGCCACACCAGTCCTTCACCAGGTGCCTGAGCACAAAAGAGCACCAGCCACACTGCAGTGCCCTGGCCTGCTCAGAGCCCCACCCCAGAGGCAGGTGCCTCTCTCTCCAGGGCTGGAATGGGCCACAATCCCACCATTCCCATCTCAGAGCCAACGACTGACCCCAGCCACAGCTAGTGATTAGCCTAGGGGACACAGTGCCCTCACCCACACTGTCCGCCCTGCAGATGAGGCCCCAGAAGGACACTGAGGGACACAGAGACAGTGAGGAGAAGGTGGTGGCAACGAGCACTTGGAGGTCAGTCTGCTCTGGGCTTGGCAGGCAAGCCCCGAGGTGCCCGAGCAGCCCGAGAGGCCGCACCCAGCTGGGGCAGAGTTGCACCTGTGCGGCCGGCGGAGCGCAGAAGGGAATTTGGAAGGGCCAGCAGCACAGGGCCGGGGGAGCCCACTTTCAGAGGAGAGAGACCAAGGAGGGAGGAGGCTCACCTCACCTTGGAGAGCCAGCACACACTTTCCTGGGAGACAGAGGGACGAGGAATAATGGCTTTTGCCCGCCACCGCAGTGAACACTAACCCGCGCCGCAGCCCCGCGAGGCAGGCGTCCTCAGGCTGACCCACACGAGTCGCCAGCATGCAACCATTGTGGACATGTAAAGACGGCAAATTCATATGGTTCCATCAAATGTCAGCCCCATTTTAAAGAGAAGGACACTGAGGCCCAGCTAGATGAAGGGACCTGGCTGAGGTCCCACTGCTAATAAGTGGCAGAGCTGGAAGCGGAACCCGGTCAGCCTGCCTTGGACAGCCCTGGTGCCCGCCCTTCCAACACAGATAGCGAGAAGGGCGGGGAAGTGGGGCTTGTGCTAAAGCAGGGCCCGAGCTGATGCCTGGCGTGTGGCTGAGGCCAGGCGGAGACGGACATCCAGGTGCACTGACAAAGCCCGACAGGGCCTGCTCACGGAGCGGGGGCCCAGGTGAGCCGAGGGAAAAGCTGCCCCTGGAAGCCTCGGGCCTCTGGTGGGCAGGTGGAGTGGCGGCCTGCGCACCCAGGCTCCCCGGACCTGCGGCCCCAGCACACTGGCTGGGAACCCCCACTCCCTGGCAGTTCCCAGCCAGTTCCAGCCACCCTTTCTAGTGCCTCATCCTTCCTGCGCGGACTGGGCTTGGGTCCCTAAAATAATGACACCCTCAAATGGAGGTGCCTCCTTCCAGGCAGTTTAGACCCTCACCTTGGCAGAACAGAAGAGCACAGCTCCCAGGTGTAGAGACATTTAGGGACATGATGGCACAGGTGTCTGTCCCTTCAAAGGACCCCACCTGCCCTTCCTTCCTTCCTCTTGCAGCCTCCAGTTTGGATCCTCAACTCCTGAATCACCTAGGGGTGGTCACATCCGCTCCCCAGGGCTGCTGAGCTGGGAGCGCACTGACCAGCGACCACCAAGGAACCTCAGGTCCTCCAGGCACACCCTGGGGAGTGGCAATCCTGGGGGGGGGGGGCAGATTATTATGCAAGGTCAGCAAAATGGTGTCTCCGGATTTTGTTCCAGGCAGCCCTCCTGACAGGGACAGGAACACGCCGCGCCCGGGCTGGGGCTGCACTGCAGCCAGCCTCCCCGTCGCTCAGGCGAACACTGACAATGCGCACATGACATGACACTCTCCCAGTGAGGTGAGAATGGGGACGACCCTCTGCTTCGTTTCCTCAAATCTCAGCGAACGGCTGTCTCCTAACGCCCAGCGCCGGCACGGCGGACTTACCTCTGCCCGCAGCTCCCGCAGCGGCTGGGCGCCCGCGTCGGTGCGCAGAGCCCGCGGCCCGCGCGCTCAGCTCCCGCGTCGGCGCTGCGGCCCCTCTGCCCGCCCGGCCCGCCGCTGCCCCGGGACTCCCGCGTGGCGGAGCGCGGGCCGCCCCCGCCCGGCCAACGCCGCTGTCGGCCAACGCTGAGCGCAGCCGCCCGCCGCCCGCTGCGCTCCCGCTGCGCCCGCCCAGTCCGCTGCCCGCGCCGCCCACGAGCTCCGGCCGCCGGCCGCCCGGACCGAGGAGCCCACCCCGCAGCCGCAGCCCTGCACGTGGGGCCCCCAAGGGCTCCCCAAGCCCACCCCGACCTCCCGCTCTGCCCCGAATCCCGCTGTTTCCTCATCCATGAAATGGGCGTAAGAAGGCCTGCCTTTCATAAATTCATTCGAAATATATTTAATAATATTGCAGAGCTCCTATGAGCCTGGCTCTCCTGTGTGCACACAAGGCTGAGCAAGACAGGACCCACCTCTTCGTGTCATCCTGGAGCTCCCAGTCCTGGGCAGAAGACAGGCAAGGGACAAGAGCCCCCGGAGGCAGGTTTCCACGTGGACACACTTGAGGGCTGAGCCCTGCCCTCGTGGTCAGAGAACAGCCTGGGAGCCGAGAGGGCAGTGAAAGCAGCAAAGAGCTCCCATGCCAGGCAGAAGTCCCTTCTCTTATCCCGTCCTCATGCCTACCTAAATGAGGTGTGATCATCCCATTTCACAGGTGAGAAAACTGAGCCTCACAGAAGTGGAGTGTCTTGTCTCAGCCAGCCAACTTGTAGATGGCAGGGCTGAGATTTTAATCCAAAGTCTGAGCTCTTTCTTCCGGATTCTATTGCCCCTGAGAGGGGTAGGTAGGTGAGATAGCAGACAGTCCTGGTTAAATCTACCGGTATGTGCCCAGAGCTGGCTGCTAGGCTGTTTGCCGCTTGGGGAAAGAAACAGCACCCCCTGGCGGTGGCAGAGCCCCACAGCGAGCTTAGCCAGAGACCCCAAGCTCCCCAAGAAAGCAGAGTCCACAGGCAAGAAACTGGAAGCTGTCCTTGCCCTCCTTGCTGGCATGCAGGGCCCAGAGCTCAGTCTGTGAGGCTCCGATGGCAACCCAGGCTGCATTCCGTGGTCTCTGGGGAAGGCACTAGGTAGGATTTTCCTTCTGCCATAAAAGTGGCTGGAAATTGACCTCCTTAATAGCATAGTGACGGGCCTCACTTCCCACCCCATTAGGAATGTTCCACGTGAACGGCCTTGGAGTCAAACGTGAGCACCAGTCCTTCAGGTGTGTGCAGCCCTCAAGATGACCTCTCTCTCTGGCCTCTCAGTCACAGCAAGGTTAGTATTCTCCTTGGCCCAAGGAGGAAGCTGAAAGCCAGCCAGCCAGAGGTTGGACCCCAGTTACCTGTCTTGCTGGAAACTTGCTGGGACTTGGATGGGGCCCACTCACGTTGCTTTCACCACTCTGAGAGCCAGTGTGGTACGTGGCCACAGCTGGGCATGGAGGCCATCTGGCAAAGCCTCAGATTCTCTTCTGTAAGGAAGCGCTAATAATAAAGTCCACCTCGAGAGCTGTTGTGGAGAAGTAAGACAAGCTCCGAACAGCTGGTAGTGCAGGCATGGGCAGGAAGCACCGTGCAGGACTGCGGCTGCTGTTGGGATTCCTGTGTCCCAGTGCCACCCCCCTCCCTGAGCCCCATCCCCAGAGCCCATGCACAGTCCTTAGATTACAGAAGTTACTGAATCCATAACAAAGGCAGATTGCCATGAAGAGAGACCCCGAAAGCAAGAAAGAACCCATGAAAATTAAATATATGATTGCTGAAATTTAAAAACATTTTATTAGAAGGAATGGAAGAACAAGATAAGGAAATATCCCATAGTGTAGAACAAAAACACAAAAATATGGAAAACCTCAGAGCAAAAATAAGAGACATAGATGATTAACACAAATGACCCATCATCCGATTAATAACCTTTCCAGGAAGGGAGATCAAAGACAATGAAAGGTAGCATATCAGTCATAGTCCAGGCAGAAAAATAATTTACCCTCAGACAGTCAAATGAAGGGACTTTAATAGAAAGGCAACCTACAGAGATTTGGCCAGGTTAAGGGAAAAAAACAGAAATGATTAGGCACCCAGAGATCAACAAGAGTCAGAAGCAGTTACCTCCTTCCAGCTACAGGGACAGAAGGAGGAAACCGTGTTACCAGAGCCAGAGGACTATGCAGGAAGGGCCAGTGAGAGCCGCGGCAGCGTGGAGGCATGGCACAGTCACCAGTTCAGCATCGGAACAAGGGGTAGGGAAGAACTCTGCCAGCCTGCTCTCCTTCCACCGCCAGTCTCCGTGGGTCCCTCCCACTGACCAAACCCAACTGGAATCCTGCCAGTAAAGGAATTGCCTGGCCTCCCTGGGCACAGAAAAGGGCAGAGAACAGTGGAGAATGAATCGGGTGGAGTGTAAACAAAGTAGCCAACACTTAAATCACCCACAGTAACAGAAAGTATCCCAGAGCTACAGATTGAAAGATCCCCTGGTACTCCACACTTACACAGGTCACTGTAAAATTTCAACCACCAAGGATAAAGAGAAGACGCTAGAATATTCCACAAGGCGGGGGAAAGGACAATTACAAAGAAAAGAAGAGAGGATTGACCATCATCAGTCTTGTCAGCAACACAGGATGACGGAAGACTATGAAATTATGGAAATACATTTTTAGGGCTCCTGGAAAAATATTTTGAAACTAAAAACCCTTTTCTCAGCTGTAATATCAAATATAAGGGTCAAATAAGGATATTTCCAAACTTGCAAGTTTATGTTTCATGAACCCCTCTGAGGAAGTAAATTAAGAAGGCATAACTGGTACTAAATGCAAGCAAGGAGAGGTGAAATCAAAGAAATGCTTGGGCTGCCCCAGAAGCCTGGAATTTTCTTTCCCCGCCCAAATAATAAACCAGCATTACTACATCCCTGGGGGAATTTCAGAGACCAGTGCCATCATAAAGACTTAAAAAATACAGGGAAGGGGATTCCTGTCACATTCCCATCAGCTTGGCTCACCTCTTTAGCCAGTGCAGAAAGTTGCTGAATCTTGGAGAAGGACTGTGGATTATCATGAATTTAATCAGGCAGTGGCTCCAATTTGAGCTGCTCTTCTAAATGCTATGCAGAACAACTTACCCAGCCCTGCACTTAGCTACTGATCCAGCTCGCGTCTTCTCCCATCTATAACAACTGGGAAGGGCCGGCAGAAGTTTGTTTTCACTGGCCAAGGACAGTAGTGCAAAGCCAATGTCTTCTCTCAGGCTATGTCTGCTCTCCAGCTTTCTGTCACACTGAGGTCTACAGAGACCTCGGTCATCTGCACATCCCACGGACATCATGCTGGTGCACTATGCAGGTAATGCATGCTGGCTGGACTGATGAGCAGAGAAAAACAACCAGATGCCTTCATAAGACGCATGCATTCCACAGCATAGAAAAAATTCCAGCTGCCACCCCAGTAAAGCTTCCAGAAGTCCAGGGGATATGGACTATGTCAGAAAGCTCCTGCCGTTGTGAAATACACATTGTCTGCACTCCTTGCCACTGAGAAAAAAGCATAATGACTGGTTAGCCTGTTTGAATTTGGGAAGCCACAGATATCACATTGAGGTGTGCTACTCCAACTCACTGAGTAATAATAGGATCCGCCAGTGTTGAGTGGGATTCAGAGTGAAACAAGGCTCTGTAAGAGGTCCAGGCTGTAGTGCATATGATAGATGTCTGTGACATATGACCCAGCACATCCAAGGATGCTCGCTGTGTCCTTGGCAGGCAGAGGTGCTGTTTGGATCCTCTGGCAAACCCGCATAGGAGAATCACAGCACAGACTGCTTAGAGAGTCTAGCAAATTCACATGCTTGTCTGCAAATACCAAGTCTCCTTTTGAGAAACAGCTTCTGCCATGCTACTTGACGAAATCATGGGACAGCAAGTGACTACACATAAAGTGGTTAAACTGCCCACTATAAAATAAGTGTCATGTGACTCCCCTAATAAAGCTGCATGTGTGAGCAGCACTCCATCACCACATGGAAATGGTGCAGGCTTGAGCAGGTTCTGCAGCCACAAGTTAAGTTCAGAAGCAGATAACTCAGGCCCCCATAGCTGCTCACTCTGCCCCACTGCTGCCTCTTCCTTGGCCTGTGTCTGCAACTGCAGAATAGAACACATGGTCCTAGTGACACATGGCCCTGGTAGGTGTGCTAGGACCAGCTAGAGGTGAGTGCTGCAACTTGCAATCTCACTCAAGGGTCATCCTGAAAGTCAATGGGGAAGGGAAATGCCTTCAGAGGCAGAACTTGCCAGCTGCACATCTGGTGCTCACTCTGCCGGGATGGAGAGAGAGCCACAGGTGGAGATCTATGCTAATCTAGTGCATGAGCAGCAGCTAAACTTTAGCCAGATGACAAGAGCAGGGAAAGACTATAGAATTGATAACAAGATCTCAACAGAAACACCTAGATATACTTCTTAGAATGGGTACCGAGGGTGAAAACATGTGTTTCTCATGGGGATGCTAACCCACAGCAAAGGGGACACTCCGACAAGATGACCCTTCCCACAGAAGCCAATCAGCCTCTTTTCCCAGATGCCTGGCACTTGCTTAATGGTGTCACAGAATAAGGTATGAGGGCGTCATGGAGATTATGTGTGGGCTCAACAGCACAGCCCTCCACTCTCCAAGGCTGGCCTGGTTACCCATGTTGCTGAGTGCTCATTCTGGCAATAGCAGTGCTCATCCTTGAGCCCTCTACATGGCATCATCCCCTTGGGTGACTCACAACCACAAGCTGGCAAATTGATTACATTGTACCCTTTCATCATGGAGGGAATGATGCTTTGACACTTATTCTGGATAAAACAAGGTTTAGGGTGTCCCAGTAGCTAAGAGCAGGGAGTTGGTGACCAAGTAGAGTCAAAGGATGTTCGAAAAAGGAGAGATGAGGCAGGCAGGTGTTGGAGCCAGGCAGGGGAGGGATGCACCCACATAGGTGGCACATAGCCACTGCAGCCTGGTGCTGAGCAGAACACACTGTGGATGGCAGCCCTGTGTGTTGGAGGAACCTGTCGTGGGGTGTCAGAGTCAGAGCAGGACAAGTCCATGTGGGGAGGTGGGGCATAGTGGCCCAGCACAGGGTGTTAGAGCCCAAGGACTGTGAAGAGACGGTGCACACGGCAGAAAGGGACAGCCCAGTGTGGGGTGCCAGAGCCCAAGCAGAGTGATCAGGGTGCTGCCATGGGAGGTAGGGAGCATGCAGTGGATCGACTGAGCAAAGTAAACATACGAAGGCTAACAGAAGCCAGTTTTCTCACTGATGGAGAAGGCAGTCACAAATATGGAAGAGGAGAAAATCAGAATGAGCCCTGTGGTTCCAATTAGAATTGAAAGTATTGGTGTGAGCCCATGATTTTCAATATGGATAGATAAATATTGATGTAATAATAGTGAGTGTATGTGTGCCTGTGTGTCTGTATGTGTGTGTATCTCCTTGCTCTGTCCACTAAGAAAGCCTAGGAGCAGTGATACCCCAATAGCAATGAACACTCTTGCACTTACATCTTGATTTCTAAATACCATTCTCCATTAAAAGAATCCAAGGCTCCTCAGGAAAATGACTGATTCCAGGGCTGGGTCAGAGAAAGTCCAAGATGAGCCTGAAAGATTTTGGGGAGCTAGAAAGTACTGAAGTACTCTAAGAATGATGGAGGCAAGCCAGAAAGGCCCAGAATCTAGCTCAAAGGGGCCCTCAATGGCCCTCAATGTGGGCATCTAAATAAATAATGATGATAATGGAAAATAGCCCACTGAATAAAATAGAAATCCAGGAGTCCATTTTAATATAAATAGATGAGTGAGTAAAGTGAAAGTTTGATGAGGAATGGGATATTTACATGGTTTCAGTGTGCCTCACCACAAAATATTTATTCATTACAAAGAGAAAAGAAGTCATTTTACAGTGGAGAAGGCTGGTAGTAACCTCTTTAATCAAATGATCAAACACCATCACTAATCCTATGAACTGAAATTACTTACTGCAGGATAGGATGTGAGGAGAACACAGCATTGCTTCTGTGATATTCCTGCCAATGGTGCATTAACATGAATACACTCTTGAGGAAACATCAGCCCAAAGTGAGGGACATGCTACAAAACAGCTAGCCCATCAAAACATGCCAAGACCATGAAAGTCATGGACAGACTGGAGAACTGTTCCAGACTGAAGGAGAACAGAAATATGATATTAATAACTAATCTGAGTGCCTTGAGACAGCTGATGAAACTAGAGTGGAGCCTGATGATGAGGGGTAGTCATGTATTAATGCAAATTGCCTTAGTCGTGATAGACGCTTTTTGGTTAAGTAGGAGAATGTCCTTTTCTGTAAGAAAAATATACAGTAAAACTAGGCTGGATGCAGTGGCTCATGCCTATAATCTCAGCACTTTGGGATGCCAACGCAGGAGGATGCCTTGAGGTGAGGAGTTTAAGACCAGCCTGGGCAACACAGTAAGATCCCATGTCTACAAAATATAATTTAAAAAAAATTAACCAGGTATGGTGGCATACAGCTGTAGTCCCAGCTACTCAGGAGGCTGAGCCAGGAGGATCATTTAAGCCCAGGAGTTTGAGGTTACAGTGAGCTATGATCAGGTCACTGCACTCTAGCCTGGGGAACAGAGGGAGACCCTGTCTCTAAAAATAATAATAATAAAAAAACAATAAAACTAGTCTTTTGAATAAGTGGGTATCTTCTTGGCAACTTACTCTCAAATGGTACAGAAAAAAAGTGTTCTTTATCCTCATTTGCAACTTTTCCCTAAGATTATTTAAATTACATTTTTTAAAGTATCAAAAATGTACTTCATCTCTATGGAATAAAATAGAAATAAAAATTGAAAATAGTAACCTCTGCAAATAAAACTGGAGTTGGCAGGGGGAGAATGTTAACAGGAGTTATCTGAGCGATAGGATTTTAGGCTGTTTTTTTGTTTGTTTTCTCCCTAAATTTCTCTATATTAAAACACAATAAATACAACTTTATAAAGAAAAGAATTAATAAAATAAATGTAATTACATCCTACAGCACAAAGAGTTGTTAGCACAGCTTAGTAACAACCATTCCAGCCTCGGTTTCATCATCTGTAAAATGGAGCCAAGATTGGTTTAATTTTGTTATTAATACAAGTTGATGAGGGTTCAAAGAATTGAGGGATAGGGATATAATATCAAAACCTTTTTCAAAGCCACATGGAAGGGAGGTGTGAGGGAGGGACCCGAGGGCTTCAGGGTCAGAGGGCAGGAAAGAGTCTGGGCCTGCGGGAGGCCTTCCAAGTGGAGACTGGGCCAACAGGGCGGCAGAAGAGGGCACACCTGCTGTGGGAGGAGGCGCCTCAGGCCCTGAGGATCCGCTTTTGTTCTTTGTTTGCCTTTGCTCTCTGCTGAGGCCATAAAGAGACAGGCCATAAAATAACCTACTCTGGCCCCAGGAAAGAAAGATAAGAAATGTCAGCTGGGCAGCCCACACTTTGCCTGCCTCCCTCCCCGGACAGCTGGTCCTGCCCTGGCCCCCAACTCTGCCTCTCTCCAGGGGAAAGCTGGACTTCCCTCGGCCCGCCCCTGCCCCCTCCTCACCAATGCCTCCCTTGTTCTCTACTCCACTTCAAAGAA